GAGGGGGAGAATTCCTGTTGAATTCTAGTCGTCGTAGTGAAAAAATATATATGTCCTGAAATCCCATGCCTAATGGTCATGCTCTAGAGATGGGCACAAACTGAACTATGAACTGGGGGAAAAATACGAACTGGGCTGGTTTCTGGTTTGGTTCGTGCAATTCGGGGCACGAACTAGGCTGGTTTCTGGTTTGGTTCGTGCAATTCATTTTGCTGAAACGAAGCGAAGTGCCAAACTTTTGTTTTTCAGCTCAGCACTTCCTTTGGAGAGATGTCCACCTGCCCCCTTCCTGTGGCCCCTGTCGCCTCCTTGCCTGGCCCTCCCGCCACCACCTCCTCTTCCTCCTTCTCCTCCACCATCTTCAGAGACAGCCCACCTGGCTTCCCTTCCCTTCACAAGGGAAACACAAGCCAAGAACCATCACGAACGGCTGGTTTCCCACTCCGTGCCCATCTTTACTCTTTATACTTATTCAGATCCTACTGTACATCATAGGATGAACAAAGCCAGGCTCTCTGAATTTTGCTGGAAGGCTGTCCTCTGCCCACCACCACCACCCTATAGTGCAATTTTTCTGAACACACAACAAGGTGGCACCCATACCATATGCTCAATCTGACAGCACCTTGCCCAGAGGGAGAAAAGCATCGCTGTGTTTTTTGTGTGTGAAATGAGTCCATTCTCATGCACAGAAAAAGAACATGTGTTGCTGAATGTTTGCTTTGCTGCTGAAACAAATGACACGTTACCCTGTGAAGATGTCACCAGTTCAAATTCTTTGTAGGCTTCGCACATCCTCTTGACAAGGTCGATTTGTTCCAACGTCAGGCGGACGGCATCTTTGTTTTGTGCTCCGCAGAGAACGTACACAGACCAAAACTGAAAAGACGGACAAAAGATATTTCTAAGATTTAATGACAAGCTCTCTGTATCCTTTCAGAACAGAGCAAGAGAAATCAACATTCGGGGGAGGTTTTGTATTCTGGACTACAACTCCCACTTGGCTGACGGATTCTGGGAATTGTAGTCTTTTTTTAAAAAAGAAGAAATTTCTAAGCTCTGAGATAAAGGACCTGAGGGCCTCGCCTGTCACGTACCTGAGCACCAACGTGGCCAGCTCGGAGCTTCTGAATGTTTGTGCCCGTGGTGTTGAGTGTCCTCAAGTTCGCTTGGCTCAGTTTGTTTTGATACAACCATCTCAACTTCAGCGGCAGATCATTGTGGCTAAATAGTAAGAATATGAGAATGTGTGATTCATGCCGCAACTCTAAAGGGTGGGCTTCCATCTCTTGCCGCCAGTGCTTAGCTATGGGAGGCAGTGAAAGACAGCAGGGCATCGGAGCTTCTCAGAATGATCTCATATATGTGTATCAGACCAATTTTCAATGTGCCTCTTAGCTTCTCTCACCCCAGGTCCCTTGTCTTGTTGCCTCTGTTGTCCTCTCTTGGCATCCAGTGGTGTAGTGAGACCTTCTGAAGCAATGGCATTCATCATGACCCAGTTCAGCCCTTGCTGGCAGCTGTGTGGATCCATAGGAACAAGCAAGGTCTAGTGGTTTTCACTTGACCAGGAGCAGGTCTTTTGTAAATCTAATGGGGCTGAATCGCCCATTCAAGAATAGGCCACCCCAACATACTTTTGATTACAGAAGAAATCTAACTTGAACACCTCATCGTAGGAAGAATTTTTGTTGTTTAGTCGTTAAGTCATGTCCGACTCTTTGTGACTCCATGGACCAGAGCACGCCAGGCCCTCCTGTCTTCCACTGCCTCCCGGAGTTGCGTCAAATTCACGTTGGTCGCTTCGATGACACTAAGCAATAAATACATCATTGTTGGGGGGAAAGAAATCCCAGCAGCATCCCAACAACTGCGAGGACAGCAATTCAGGTCAAAGAGGACAGCGAAGCTTGAGAAGGGAGAGATAATATCATGAGCCATGCTAATAAACAAGTCACAAGCTATATTGTTGGAAACCCTTGCTCTGCTATGTAATTGTCAGCATTATTATGAGAAGTAATTCCTGGCTTTGTCATCATGTGCCGTATAGCGACCCTAAGAGGCCTTTCCAGAGAAGTGAGATATTTAAAGAGCGGCTTTGTCAATTCCCCTCCTTCAATGAGTTTCCGTGGCTGGGCAGGGATTTGAATCCTGTTCTCCAGAGTCCTAGTCCATCACTCCATCCACTATACCACACTGAGTATCCCAGCTCCTGGCATAGCTAACCATTTTCCCCATGAAGCCGTCATTTATGGATGCAAGATCAATGAAACGAAAGTTTCCGCAGTGCCAGGCCCTAATTAGTCTTCCACTTCAAGGAGTATGGGGTGAATAGATACCTCTTTAGACGGGTTAGATAGCTAAATCTGTTTCCCCTTCTTTTCTTTTCTACATATAGATTAGTCTTTCTCAAGTTTCCTTCCTTTTCTCTCTGAGGTCATTTCTTGTTTGTTCTCCTGGTGTGAGTAATGACTTTTCTTATCAGCCGCGCATGAATGGAAGCCAACTCTGGAGGCTTCCAACGTTTGCACTCAATGCAATTCTTCTTTAACTAAACAGTAGCCTACCTTTTCGCCTGATTACTTCCCAATAATCCCTAGCTCAGCGTGAGCCACGACACTCTGCCAACATAAAGTACTTAACAATCGTAAGGTAACAGAGGGGACATCTCCAGAGGCCAACACTGTTGCTTTTACATTTTGAAGCTATATTTCTCTGTTAAGTGTTCAACAGCAAAGGAACAGCACGCCAGACTTTGATAGAGCCCAGACAGTAGATTTGCCATCATAGATTGGTACACAACAAATTCCACCTACCCATCAATCAATGGGGCTTCTTGCATTAGCTGGAGCGCTGTCTTTCTCAAGTCAGTATCGGCTCCGGATTCCAAAAACTGAGCACAGAGAAGCGGAGCCCACAGAAGTATCTTCAGCCAATCTCTGGCCAGATCCACAGGCATGTTTACTGAACGGAGATGTTTCCCGTGTGATATTTTGGGTTAGAAGACACACTCGCCTTATCTCAAGCTTCCAAAGGTTTCCCAGGCAAGAACTTCACACAAAGGGGAAAAAGGGAATTAAGAGGTAGAAGAGAATCTGTGGATCTCACAGAAGGAAGACACCATATCTTCTATGCTGACTTTCAATCTGAAAATGAGTCATTGGGCTTCCAACTCAGAAGGGATACTTCTAATATCACATGTCATGGAAACAAACAAGATTCTCTCCCACACAGAAAACATACACACCCGTATCTCATTTATCGTCATTCGCAAGAACTGGCGAGATGTCAAGTCATGTATCCTCATAACAAATACCACAAGGGGATCTGGCATAAGTTCATATGGGAAATCATCATCATCATCATCATCATCATCATCATCGATTTGCAGAGCTGGAAGTGACCCAATTTCCAACCAGATACCTAAACCACTGAACTACCAAAGAAGTATGATGTCTGAAGAGCAACAGTTCAAGACAGAGATGAGATTTGGAAATATTGGCTAAAATCCTGTGGTTTAATGTAGTAAATCCCACTAGATTAGGTCCAATTGAATGAATGGGGATTTCATAAGAATCCCTTTATAAGTTCCATTTCTTCAGACAGGTCTACTCTAAATGTGATTTACTATGCAAAAGCAACTCCCAAATAGAGAAGGCTCATGTGAATCAAGAGAACTTATGGAGGAGCTGACTCACCAAATCACTGTTGATTTAAAGGGACAACTCTAGTGCAATTTACTACACTAAGCAACAGGATTTCGGTCCCTATGATGTGGTGTCTTCTACAGCTTTGGGCAGATGCCTTTGGCTACATATAGTTGAATGAATCTCAGAGCTTGTAGAAGTTACATTTTGGGCAGTTACTCACTGAATTCCCCAACCAGTAAGGCCACTGGTCAACCATGCCAACTGGAGGATTTTGAGAGTTGTAATCAAGAAAAACAATATTTACACTTACTAGTTCTTATGAAGCTATATCAGGTTGTCTGAAACTGGAGTGTTCAGAGACCTGCTTCATGACCCTCCCTAAGAGCCCTAAAGAATTTTATAGAACTTTAGGGGGGAAAAAATCCAAAACCTGTGTTCATCACAACTAGCATTTATCCCCTAAAGGGGTAACGCCAGAGTGAAACCAAACAACCTTTGACAATCATATCAACATTCATCTGAGTATCAAGGTATATTTTTTCACTGTTGCAATAGTTCCAGGCATCTTCAGCTTGTCTGATTCTACTAGCTTTATTGCTTATGTATTCCATATGCACAAAATACTTCAGTGTTGTTCCAAAATTCAAAAGTCTTGCAGCTATGACGAAAACTGCAGGCACTAATACATAAACAAATCCTTCCTTGCAACTTTGAAAAAGATGCTGGTATGGAACTTAAAACCCACAACGAACCCCCAGAAAACATTTCATGACCCCCGTTGGGGGTCACAACTCCCAGTTTGGGGAACACTGCTTTATGGAGTCAGTTCATCTTGTATTGGGTCTTCTTCTTTCCTAACTGTCTGTCATCTGCAATCCAGCATGCTGTCATTATACTGATAATGAATTTTGTTTTGGCTAACATTCTTATGGAGAACTTACTTGATCATCGTCTTCTGGCATCAAAGATTTGTAAGCCTAAATTCTTATAAGACTTGGATATTGTAATACAAAGGCATTGGAATGAGAAAGAGTGCTAAATATTGGACATTCATACATCATTTCTATATTTACATGTTGTTAAATAAGAAAAATCATCCCACTTCCAGGATGTTTACAATTCAATGACTTTGCTGAACAATAGCTAGCTAATCGGTTTGGTACACTTTAAAATGTTTTGCAAAGTGATAAGAAACAATGTCCTAGCCACATTTTGAACATGCTTTCATTTCACAGTGGCTTTTTCCATATGTCCCTTAATCATTTCTCAACAGTCTTATACACAAAATTTCAAACCTTGAGTCACAGACTCAACTGGAGCAGGTTAAATAGGATAACGTAAGGTCATGTGGACATCCGGTGTGCCATTTGGGCAATTCTTGCAACCACATGGCATATACACCTCAAGCAACTCTATTTGGCCCTCCTCCCTTAACAAAAAGAAAATATCCCCCACTCTCCTTTCTACCTTCTCTCTGCTCCTCCTTCTGGGTGGAAGTGTTCATTTTGTTCATTTGCCCGCCCCAAAAAAGGGGCATAGCAGTGCTGCCCTAATAGGCTTTAAACAAACTTTGATTCCTTTAAAACTTCCACATATTGGGAAATGAGAAACGTCCTCTGCTTTCTTCCTCTGTCTCTCCATGCGGACAAAGGAAGAAGTTGTCTTCTTAAGCCACTTACCAATACTGGGAAATTGAAAGTGGGAGCGAAACTGAAAGCAGCAAGGGTTTGATCCCGGCTACTGTATGTGCTGGAAACAAACCAAAACAGAGCGGGAAATTGAAAGCAGCAAGCTCCACTTAGGTTTGATCCCGGCTATCGCATGTGCTGGAAACAAACCAGAACAGAGCGATTCTGCCTGCACCTGAAGCAAGGTAACCCCTGACAGAGACCCAGAATGGTATGGATAAGAAGGCTCTGGGGTAGGGGTGGTTCTTTCAAGGACTTACATTGCCTGGTCACCAGAAGAAGGAGCGAACCACCCATCCCCACAGAGAACCTAATGGTGGGACAGATGCCCATATAGTCATCCCCTAACAAAGAGCCTCTGTGCCTTAACAACCATTGATAAGTTTCTGTCCTCCGGTTGACTCCAACTTATGGTGACCTCCAAGGTTTTTCTTTACGTAAAAGTACTCAGATGTGGTCTGTCGTTCCCTCCTTCTGGGGCTATGCAGCTTGTCTGAGGCCACAAAGGAGGCAAGGCACACAACCCCACCGGCAAGGTACCCTCTGGGAGATCTTGGCTGGCTCTTTTTTTTTTGCAGGACCAACAGCTGGAATTCAAACACCCAGAGCCTGGCTCTGCAGCCCTGAGATCTCAGCCAGTTATGCCCGCTGAAATTCCCACTTCCAAACAGCCCTTGAAAGGACAGAAGCCCTGTCCTCTTCTTAGTGTGGACACTTTATTGAAATTTGTAATCACCTTTAAGGGGAATTTCTTGTATCTTGTGCTGGGGCTATCTAAGAATTGATACTTGGAATCTCTGGGCCTTCTAAGCTTTGCAAAATTATATATTTAGCACTCTGTTCTGATTATTCTCTTTCCTTTTCCTACTCTTTTAAAATGAAACAACAACAACAACAACAACAACAACAACAACAACAACAACAACAACAACAACAACAACAACAACACACTCTTTCCTCTTCTATATCCCTCCCCTGCCTTTACCTTTCCTTCGGCCACTCTCCCTTTCTCACTGCAATTGAACCAGGAACAAGCAATTCACATCCAGCGAAAGCAAAATGAGGCAGAACTTTGAAATCTTACCTTTTTGATCTACAGTTGCCAGAATCTCCCAGGCAGCCATGAACAGGGGGCTTGTTGAATGCAAAAAAGAAAGGGAAATGTGAAGTCCGGTGTGCTCTGCTTGAAAGAAAGAACTGCAAATGATAAATAACAAAACAAACAAGCAAATACGTGGCACTGTTCTCTCTCTAAATCAACAAACAAATAAACACGCAAATACATGGCACGGTTCTCTCTCCAAATACCTCCTCCACTTCTTCTGCCCTTTCTCAGCCCTTGCTCATGGCCGCCCTGAACACAGGATCTCTTATTTGTGTGTTTCTGTATCTTTTACCCAAAGACTGCATTCCCCTTAATCAGCAAAAATCCACCTGACTAGGGAAAAAGAGAGAAACCATTCTTATCTAGTTCTGACAAAGTGGAGTGATCAGTGCCAGCGCTATCACGCTCATGCAGCAGCAGCAATAGACAGTAAGAGGTATAACACTTTTGACAGTGACTCTTTGCAGGCTTTTCCAGGCAGAGAACACTCAGAAGTGGTTGACCCTTCCTTTCTTCTGGGGGTGCCCTGGGATTGCACAGCTGGCCCAAGGCCACCCAGGCTGGCTCTTCTCCATGGACACCCAATGGGGAATTGAACTCCCAACTTCTGGCTTTGCAGCTCAAGACCTAAACCACTGAGCTAAAATGCTGCAGTCAATCTTCAGTGTCTCCTCCTCTTCCTCTTAGAAGATTACAAATGCTGCAGCCAATCTTCAGTGTCTCCTCCTCTTCCTCTTTCAAAAGAAGTAGTGAAGGAGTAAGTAGAACCAACATGGACTAAGGTCGGAGTGACCGCCTGGCCGCCTGAAGAGGCCACGCGTGGCCCACAGGCGAATGAGACCTGATTTCAACAGGTCTCCACTTCTGACCAGTTTAGGAAGAATAATTGATTCTCAAAGCCTGGGAAATGGACATTTTGAGGTGGAGTACATTCCTGGTCCTTTGAATTGTATGTGTTGCTGTACGACGCGTAAAACTGGACCATGGAACATGAGAAGTAAACTGGAAACCGTAAAGCAAGAAACGGGATGTATAAACATTGTGGGACCCTCTTCTGGTCCCATAATTATTTTATGGGATGTAAACAGAGGAAGTAATAATGACAAGGACCCAGCGCTAAGGTGATAGGGTGACCTAGTGCTAATCTCATATACGCAAAGAAATAATAATTAAAATTAAAATTCAGAGGATACTAAGGTGATAGGGTGATCTAGTGCTAATCTCATATATGCAAAATAATAATAATAATTAAAATTAAAATTCAGAGGATGATCAGGAGAGAATCAAGAACGGAGAGAGGGGTTCCCCCAGTCTTGAACATCACATCCCAACTGGTTACATCACCAAATTGCCATCTACAGAAACACCCCCTGTTTTTACAAGAGAGTATCACGCGGGGAAAAGCCCGTTTGATTTGAAGACTCCCCTTTTCAGGCAGGCTTTTAACAGTCGTGACTCAGTCCCTGAATGCCTTCTTGGAGTTAAGACAGTCTTTAATGTTTACTTGCTTTTAATTATTCATTTGGATCTCAATGAGCATATAGTTGAATTGTGTTTTCGTGCTTTTAACTCTATTCCTTTTAATACTGTTTTGTGAGTGGCCTTAGGTCCCCTGATTGGGAGAAAGGCGGCCTATCAACTAACTAACTAACTAACTAACTAACTAACTAACTAACTAACTAACTAACTAACTAACTAACTAACTAACTAACTAACTAACTAAATAAATAAATAAATAAATAAATAAATAAATAAATAAATAAATAAATAAATAAATAAATTTTATAAGCAGAACAAATCCCATGGTATTTGACCATGTAGTTGCAGTCTCATTGATCACACTCAAGTGTTTGATTGATGGCATGAAATAGCCTGCATCCCTTTGTTTGGTAGAATATTTCTGTTAGATGGGTGACCTTCGCTTCCCCCCCTCCTTTCCTTTCTTTTAAACAAACTGCATTTCACTTGACCTTCCCTCCAGGGAGATCAAGGTAATATATGTGGTTTATCCTTTTATCTTTGCAGCAACTCTGTAAGAAGACAGAGCAAACAGCCTTCATTGATAATTACGTTTAATAATGTCGCAATGAAGTGTTCTTCCCTATGGCTGGTCTCCCTTCATTTTTTCCTTTCTTCCTCCCTCCAAAAGGTGGGGACAAGAGGGCCATTTTGGGGCTGTTGAAGATGGTCCATCTCCACTGGGTTTTAAAAGGGGTGGTCTCTATTATTGCTTGGGATTTTCCACCTTTTAAAATGTGTGTACATCTGCAGAACTTAAGATTTCCTGGTTTACCATATTTTTCCATGTATAAGACTATACTTTTGTCTAAAATATTTAGTCTAAAAATTGTGGGTCGTCTTATATACAGAAGTAAGCTGAGGAGAGAACAAACACAAGTGGAGGGGAAAGCAGGGACCAAAGTGATCCTGCAGTGCTTTGATCCCTTCCCCCCTACACTTGCTAAGCCCCACTTAGATTTCTTAATTTGGGGTTAGAAAAGTAGGGGGATCTTATACGTGGAAAAATATGATACTTCCCCTTAAATTCCCCTTAAGCTAAGGCTATTTTCTGTGTGAACAAAAACAGCACACCTTGCTGAGTGGATGAATGCCAAAGAGTGTCTCCCACCAAGATAAGAGTCTGGCTGGATCATCTGGAACTCCTTTAATAGACTACTTGGAAGTGAAGTGGGACGATCAAAGAATAATCACATAAAATGGGGCTACTTGGACACAGGACAAATTTTCTGTGACTGTGGAGAAATTGAATCAATGCAGCACTTAGGTGCATGCTGTGTATGCCCCACCATGGGAACAAAAGAAGATCTAGCAAGTGGCCGAGATAACGGTATTTAAATACCCCGCTTCTGGTCAAACATAGTCTAATTATCTTAACATTTTAGTTTGTTTTCACTTTACCTGCATTTCATGTACAGTACACCCATATTTTTAAATTGTGCAGTGCTCTGATACATGAATGAAGAAAGAATTTTCCATTGTGTGCTGATGGAAGCATTTTGGGTACATTAGAATCAGCACTTGGAAAATTGAATCCACTATTAGTATGATATTTTGTTACCTGAGGTGGAGCACTAATGCATTCCCCCCTCAATTCAAGATGAAAAACACTTAGTGGTTCCTGACCGAGAAAAGTCCCACGAACGCCTCTCCCTTTCCGGTACAGCAAAACTGAACAATAATTACTATAAATAAAAAAATTAAATATCTAACCATTTGCTTTCCGAATGACCCGAATCAGCTGCCTGAGGCCAACAACTCACGCTGTCTCATGAGAGGGCAAGCAGTATTGCTTTGATGAATATTCACTTTTTGTTTTTGTGTGGCAAAAGTGGCACAGAATGATTTCTCAGGCTTTTTGCTCCAGCTCCCTATTGTTGCCTTGCATGAAAGCAGTGAGAGGGCTAAGCAGGTTGTGACTGGATAGGGAGCACTGCTCCTCAAATTTTTGAGTTAAACCTCCCCTCTGCCTTGATCCATGAGCTGCCTCTGGTGTGAGGCCAACAGATGTTCCCACAGAGCTAAAATGGCAGACACACAGATGAGCAGACTTCTGTGGGAGATGATTTGCCACTGTCCTTCTTCAGACACAGGAAACTTGACTTTTTTGGACTACATAATCCAAAATCCTGTAGCCGTTGGGCTACTAACTATGTGGGCTGGAGGATGATACATGTTTTAATGTTTAAGACAAGTTTCAAAGCTCCTGTCTTTTCATGGAGTGACCTTTGATAAGATTCAGTGGTTTTATAATCGTTGTATATCTCATGTTGCTCCAAATTTTTAGGAAATTTTCAGGGCCTTTATCCAATGGCCCATCCTTGAAGCCCCACCACCATCACCAGTGGACTCAGAAGCCATACCCAATCACCTCTAAGGCTGCTAAATTTATTCTGGCAATCAAATAAATTTATTCATTCTCTTGGTCCGATGGGGTTTCTGTGGGTACCCAACAACAGTGGAAACAACCATTGGCTTGGTTGTCCCAGCGTTGACCTCAATACAAAATGGTAGCTCGAGGAGGAGGCTTCAGCTCCTGGCGACATGGATGCTTCACCAACTCTGGGGAGATCGTCTCTTCATTTGCTTTAATGGAAAGGCTCTCATCCCGCACCTAGAAGAATTCAAATATGGAATTCAGGAGTCAAGATCCGATAATATAAGTAGAGGTCTGAGGCACATCTTTACTAGGTTTCTGTTCTCGTTCCCATCCGGTGCAAAGCATTCCTGCTGGAAATGAAGACAACTAAACTTATCCAAGACTTTTTTTTCCAACTTTGTGCCCTCCAGGTAGGTTGGCTTACAATTCTCATCATCCTTAATTGCCACGGCTGAGGTGAACCATCTTCCAGTAGACATCTGCTCCTGTTATCTCTTTCACCACAGGGTTTGGAAAACTAGGTAGAGATACGATTTTTGGATTTGGTGGACTAAAACCTCCACAATTCTCCATTCCGGTAGATCTACCTGCCTTGCAGGTGCCTTTTACAGACACCTCTGTGTGGTGTACTTGGGAGAAAGTTCTAAATTAGAAGGCTTTGCACTAAGCTAAGCTTCTCCCAAGTGGCCTGTTCAGGAAGACACAAGAAGCTTGGATAGAGTTTGGCCTAGCTAAGCCTCAAAGCTTTCTAATTTGGGCCTCTGTCCCTGTTGCATCCTATGTCTGCAATGTACGTAGAACTCCAGAACAGAGAATTATGGTATCCAGAAAATTTTAAAAAATCACTAAAATTGTGTTCTGCAATTGTAAGAACTCTCAGAATTCTGCAAGCCAAAGACTATTTAAAAAAATCACTAAAATTGTGTTCTGCGATTGTAAAAACTCTCAGAATTCTGCAAGCCAAAGACTATAATTTGCCAGACTATGTGACTTCTGTAGTCCAAGACAGCAATTTTTTCAAATTAGGTTATAGCAGTATGGAAATACCAGAAAGAAAACAGATTAATCAGTGCTCATGGGATTCCCCCATTGTGATGCAGGAGACTTTTCATCCTTTTCCTGTCGCTTTTTATTCTCCTGGAAAACCTGCATCGCAGGATTGGGACAGTGCAGGTGGTTGAACAAAGTAGTACAGGAAAATCTTCAAAACTTCCTGGTATTTCCATTAGCAAAAACTTCCACCGGATCAGAGATGGTCCTGCAATCCATCAAAGAGAAAACTCTGGATCCTAGTTGTGTTATGATTGGCAAAAATGTCTTTCACAATTAACCTGTAATCTGCTTTTTTTCCCCCCCAGCAAGCAGTACGTGACCAGCCCGTTCTTTTATTTTCTCCAGTTTTGTGTGTGTGTGTTTCTTAAAAGAAGCTTGGCAAGATCAAAATGAAAATCAATAGCACATAAGCTGGCTGTGTTGCTTGTGGGTTGGTCAAGAGTTCAGTCCCCCCCCCGCTCCACACCATTCTCGGTTTTAGTCTGAACTAACTAGAAAACCAATTAACACCTTGGACGAGTCAAGTCAAGTTCATAGTGGCACTCAAGAGCAGATGGGCTGTTCCCATGAACCTGAAATTCACAGCCTTTCCTGCATCCTACCCATGTAAGACGTCCCACCAAACAGCCAAGGTAATAGTGCCACAATATCAGGTGTACATCAAAACCATCTACTGGTCTTGATGTACAATAAAAGGTTTGAAAAAGATAATTAACAGCATTCAATTAAAAAAAATCCTTACTTTTTCCACTTCACGGAAAACACGAAGAAAGTTCTCTCTCAAGACATCCTTCAGTACTTCCTCACTCCACCCTCTCTTCAGCAGCTCTGCAATCAAAACGGGATATTTGGAAACATCCTCCAGTCCCACTGGGTGTCTGTCACAAAAAATAATAATAATCAGAAACCAACTGAACAAACAATTCATTACACTCCATCTTCAGCCCACTAACTGCAGAGAATTAAAGGCTCCTCTATTCTTAGTCTTTGTTTTGGTGTTTTGAAAGTATGATTATTGTTTTAGCATGCAGCTGGATGCGAAATGGGATGTGGGAGAAATATGATGCAGCTGGAGAGATGGAAAATGTGCCACTGGAAAATCATAGCCTGAGTTTTACACTGGAGATAGGAAACTGAGACAGGAATGGGTAAGAGACTGACCTTTTAGAAACCCCGGCGAAAACTTTGAAAGCATTCAAAGATTGATATGGATCTTGGGTGGGCGGGTAGGGAAACCTGGTGTTTAATGAAGAATGAAGAGCTTAGTTTGCTTCTGAACTAAAGCAGATTCATGGAGACGGAATGTGAAGTAAATTAAAAACTGAAACGCAATACATCAAACTGTAAATTGTTGTGGAGAAACTACTGCCGTGTGAATAAGGAGCACAGTGTCTTTTGGAGTGGTTCTCCCTCCTTTCTGGTGTGGGTTGCCTGGTGAGGTATTTGTGCACTGGGGGGGGAGAACTGGCAAGAGGGGAGTCTAATAATAAATCCTATAAAAGGTAGCTGCCTTCTTAAAAAGCTAGCAAATACGGACATTTTGGAGAATCAGTTATATAAGCTTGCTTGTCCTCTTCCGAGCAAAGCAAAACCTGGATACTTAAAAATTGCTCTTGAAAATACATGCTCCTTGAAGTCCACTCAGGAACTTGTATGATAGATTTCTTGTTTTTCTTTAAACTTTGTGCATAGTTTGGCATGTTCCTTTTCTTCCCCCTCCTCACAGGAAAAACAACAACAACAACACTAAATAGAAAGCCACCCAAAAACGGCACTCAACTCCCTTTCAGTTCCAGGAAGGAAGACAGAAAGAGGCTCTCTTGAAATTCTGATGGCAAGCCACACACCTCTTGAGCCAAATAAGGCAAGGTTTTGCTTCGTGTGTTTTTTCTGGATGAGCTTCCAGGCTTCAAGAATGCTCACGAGGCTGACGTCAACAAGCCGGCTAGCTTGGTGTCTGCACGAGTGCCTGTTACGAGGGAGCTTTTTTTGGGCATGCGCGTTTAAGGAGGAGCAAAAGTTTTATCGATTGATGTGCCTCATTGTGCAAACATCACCCATTTCAATTTTGGTCCAAGTTATTTGTGTGCAGAGGAGTCATGACTGCTCCAAGGTGGGGATATGGGTGGGCACCTTAACTATCTCCCATGGACTGCAGAGTAAAACCTGGAGTGGATTTTCGACACCCCTGGAACTGTACTTAGTCATGACCCACCCTTGTTCTGCATGCTGGCAAACCTCTGTCCCAGAGGGAGCCCATTGTACCAGCAAAGGGCTAAATCCAATAGCTATTTATTGATTGATCGATTGGTTGATGGATGGATGGATGGATGGATGGACTGAATGATTGATTGATTGGATTTGATTTGTATCCCGCTCATCTGGTCTATACAACCACTCTGAGCTAGCTAGTCCCAATGAGAGTAGACCCATTGAATCAATGGGATTTATGATTGATTGTTTGATTGATTGGATTGGATTTGTATCCCACCCATCTGGTCTATACGACCACTCTGAGCTAGCTAGTCCCAATTAGAGTAGATCCATTGAATCAATGGGATTTATCTAGGTTGACTTTGCATTCAACAATTCATTCAAAGGCGTGTTATACATACTTTACACAAAATCTGGGTAGGCTGCACAGCAAAACATTTTTTGGGGGGGCACTCCACAACTTACATAAATGCACATAAGACTGTGTATCAAAGATTTTAGAAGGAAGTGCGCATGGGTTTTACTGACATGTTGAAGCCGTCATAGTTGCCTGCGATTCCTAAGTGTTCTGGACCGATTGTGTTCTGGATGTGGTCAAAATGATCTGAAAGGAGAGAGAAGAGAGGACAGAAAGGACGGCATGATGGGACAAGAGAACAAACATGGGTTAGAAAGGACAACTCCGAGTCTTAATGGACAAGTCACGATAAAAGAATAATCTCATTTGTACACCATCTTGAGTGGCTCAGATTATACGACTAGCACAGTGGAAATGGAGAATTCCTCCAGCAAATTCCACAGAGGCTGGGCTCCATGGGTCACGCCCCACTTTCGGTATACGGCTAGCAAAGTGGAAATGGAGAATTCCTTCAGCAAATTCCACAGAGGCTAGGCTCCATGGGTCACGCCCCACTTTCGGTATGTGACTGGACAAGAAGCAAAGGCTAAGAGAGGCGAATCTTCCCAGTGCAACTGGGTGAGGCATTGTCTACAGAAAACCAGCTGGAACACACAGGGAAGGGCCAGTATTCCAGCGAAAATATCAAGGCTACGAATGTGGTTTCGTCTCCTCCAAGATGGCCCATCCCAACTCTGCACTCTTAGGCTCAGCTGCCAAAATCCTATTGACAATTCACACTAGTATCTGGGGAAGAGCGTAAGTTGCAGGAGCAAATGTCTAATCATGAACTAAGTGCTGGTTGCGTTCCTGGAGGTGTGCAGCAATGTTACAATTAGCCATGTGATCCACAGCTTAATAACAAGCAGCAATTTGCTCCAAGACTTACACGGTTTCCTTTACGCAAACTTAAAGAAGCAAGAGGATTCTAGCCTGGATACACCTTTTTGTGTACAGTGGTGGTCGCTCCTGTGTCGTGGTTGCACCTGTGCCATGCCTAGTAAGATCTGAAGCAGGTTGATCACAGGAATGGTGCTAGCAATAAAACTACTCCTTATGCTGTCGCTACTAGGGACAGAAAAGAAATCTTTTTGAAAGAATTCATCATAAATGCCATCATCATCATTGAACTTCTGTTCTATGTGCCTGTAACCAAAAGAGTTTGCATATTTTCCATTACTTGTCACTGAGGAAAAAAATGGTCAAGAGGCAGGTTATTTTTGCTTTCCAGATTACATACCCAAACAAATGCACACAATAATGTGTAATTTTTGGGGGGGGCTGATGGGGATGCTCCCATACTTTACTCCATGGGAAAATGTGCCCAAGTATGCATTCATTAAAACAAACACACAAAAGCTGCAACACATTAGGAAATGTGTTTATGTGGATCCCCGTGGGGAACAGAGGCACGGAGCCTTGCGAGAAGATATGAAAAAAGGATCAGAAAGAAAGAAAAGAAAACACAGTTGGATTGGGAGAAACATGATAAAAATCAGACCGAGAAGCTTTCACATCCCCTTATTGGTCATCACTCCTTAGAGACAATGTGGCATGCGGACAGCAAGGATATCGTTAGTCTCGTTCCTGTGACCGTCGTCCTTTGGACCGTAGTGGGAATGTGGCCTCTTTGTAATATACTTGGGAGTCTTCTGAGCACAAATGGCTTTAGGTGATGGGTGGCCTGATATCAGACTCCCAAATATGTGAACAGCCTTTTCTGAGTGGTGGGGATGGTAATTTCTTTCTTTCTTTCTTTCTTTCTTTCTCTTTCTTTTCTTTCTTTCTTTCTTTCTTTCTTTCTCTTTCTTTTCTTTCTTTCTTTCTTTCTTTCTTTCTCTTTCTTTTCTTTCTTTCTTTCTTTCTTTCTTTCTCTTTCTTTTCTTTCTTTCTTTCTTTCTTTCTTTTCTTTTCTTTCTCTCTCTCTCTCTGTCTCTCTCTCTCGTTTGTTTGTTCATTTTTAGCCATATTTTTTCCCAATTTTGGTAGCTGGATTCTCAGTAGTGGACTTGCCATGTCTGAGGCACCCAGACAGAGAGAGGACTTTTCAAACAGTGAAGAAACCCAAGAGTGGACAATAATGGCTAAGCAAAGTGTGCTTATTATATACCTCCCTATAGAACTTAAAGTACTGGGCGGTTCTTACAATTTAATTATGCTGGCTACACCTTGCCCCCTTCCAGAAATCTGGAAGTACTCAATTTACTGACCTCAGATGGTTGACACAACCTTGGGATGGATGCCTGATCCTGGGATTGAATGCACCTCACAAACAGAGTCTTCTCTACAGTATAACAGTTTAACCCCTGCGCCACGAGGTACAGCCCGGTATAGCTGCCTGCTGGCTAGTGAAACCTGCCCATTCTGAAAGAATTTACAGAAAAGGTACCAACCAGCCACATTAGACACCGTAACGGAAGGACCGCTGCAAGCCAGGAATTTGACATCGAATGACAGCATTATAATCCCATTGTTTTGTTTCTGTAAGAGAAGAACGAAGAAAAGGGAGCAAGGGAAAAAGATTCACCACCTCTCTACAAGCCAAGGACACACTCACATGGTCTGGCCAGAAACACTCTTATTTCTAATCAGAGATACAGGCAACCTAAAGGCATTTGAACCTTGAACATCCTCCTTTTAAAATAGCTTTACAATTAAGATACTTTTAAAGAACAGGGAACTTGAAGCAATCATGCGAGAAAGCGATAGAGAATTTAGGGCTGTGTTTTGAAATTGTCCCACTCCTCCAGTGGCTACTATTTTGTGCTTTGTGGCTTAATTCTGAGTTTAAAAAATGTGTCAAATTGCACTGCATTCTGTATGCCCAAAAGCTGTTGCAGCGAAGCATATGGGAGGGCAGTCCCTGTAAGCATCATCATCCCTCATCTGGAAGCGTGGCATGAGTCATCAGGGCCTGGAAGGATATATGGTGGGGTTGGGGCACCTGAGTCCCTCCAGATGTTACTGGGCTGCAGCTCCCATCATTCCTTGATCGAGGGCTGGCAACAGCTGGAATGCAAAAACATCTGGAAAGCTACAGGTTTTCCAGAGCAACAGGGGTGGTGCCTCTGCTGTTAAAGGAAGCTCCTTGAATCCTATGATCTGCCCAAAGTCCTACAAAAAAGGATTGCAGCTGATTTTTGTCCTGATTTCAAAGTTGTTTCTTCTTCATCATCATCATGATGTACTGCCAAGTCAATTCTGAGTTATGGTGACTTTTCCCAGGGTTTCCCAGGTAGAAAGTACCCATAAATGGTTTGCCCTTCCTTTCTCCTGGGTGTGTGTGTGTGTGCCCTGGGACCAACGTGCAGCTTGCCCAAGGCCACCCAGGCTGGCTCTTTTCCCAAGAGGAACAGTGGGGGAATCAAACTCCCAACCTTTGGCTCCACAGCCAGAGACCTAACCATTGAACTATCCAGCCAACATCTGACTTCAAAGTTCAGGAGAAGATAAAAGTACTCAAAATATGGGATCGATGACTATGGACAGATCATGGGGACGGCCATTGCTTGCCTTAACAGACACACCTCGCACCAAAGTAGAGAACCCATAGGTCACCAGGTGATATTATTGCCTATGACTGCACATCTGTGTGCATTGGATGTTAGACTTTCCCCCTTATTAACCTTGCCATCTGAGACAACTGGTTCAGGTCCCAGCCTCCCTGAGTGTTCATGGGCTTTTCTCTTCAGAGCAGAAGGAGCAGGTAATATTGATCCATAGATCTTGTTTGTGCTGGTCTGGAAACTCTGCAAAATGGGGCCATGACAGAGTTATTTCCCTGAACGGTTTTGCAGCAGGCAGAAAACATTTTTTTTCCTAGTCTCCATCTGTGCCCTTTTTTGCATGATTATTTCTTCAGACAAAAAGAAGACATAACCCACCAAGAGTTGCAAAATAGAATCAGGGATGTTCTTTGGATGGTTGCAGACGGAGAAGGCAGCGGAATGGCTGAATATGACCGGTGCTTTGGAGATCCTCAGAACCGCCCTTGCAGTGGCTTCAGAGGCATGAGATAAGTCTATTATCATCCCCAGGCGATTCATCTCCTTCACCACTTCCTGGCACAAAAGAAGTCGAGGGCTTCATCTGTTTTATAAGTTTGACCAAATATAAGAGCACATTTATTTACTGCTACATTTCTATCACACTTTCCCTCCCACGGGCTCAAAGTGGCTAACCGAACTCTACTCTAGAACAACCCCAGTGAGGTAGAAGTAGGCTGAGAAAAGTTTGAGTTTCATGGGATGGGATTTTTTGGATCTCTTGGACTACAGATCCCATAACCCTTCATTCTGGATGTTTTGCCCGAGAGATAGTCACATTACAAACACCTAAAGAGGTAGTTTAAGGCTCAACTGGACGGCTTTGAGACTGAACTAGGCCTAGCGCCACTTAACTTCCTGTTCAGAAAGAAAGCTCCCAGCTAGCACTGGGGCAGAAACAGGAAGTTGGGGCACAGCTAGGCCTAGCTAAAGCTCAAAGTCTTACATCTGCAGCTTTTTTTTTTTATCCCCGGCGAGCCACTATCAGCTTTCTGTAAGGAACTGCCGGAATAGAGAAGTAAAGAATGGGTAGTCCAGGAAAAAAAATCCAAAAATTCACCCCTACTCTCAAGTTATATAAAGTTCATATAAAAATGAAACCAACCCATCCATTCCAGAATAAATACTCTTACTGCGTACCATACAGGCTTTTATCCTCTCCTCTCATTATGTCTTGTCTTATACTTAACAGCGCCTGCTGATTTCGCCACCCAGGCATTGATGGGCGACTTCAAAACCCCTGTGGTTTCATCTTCTGTTTGGTCTGGACAAGCCCTTAAAATAGAGGACTGTCCTTTCCAAAATAGGACATATGGCTTCCTTTCTGGGAGGTCAGAGTAAGAAACAAGACGCTGGACTTAGAGGGACATTCCATCGGGCCGTTCTTATTTTCTCGCGCTCTTGATCACAGGAGCAAGGAGAAGCCACAGAAGACCCCTTTCCTGGTTGAGTGGTGACGTAAATTGGACCCAGAAAGGAAGGGAAAATAAAGGAGGACTCTTGATGATAAGCCCCAGTTAGGAGGAGATGGGGCCCCTCATCAGATGGGGTCCCACAGCTGTCATGTTGCCCATGGGTTTTCCAAGTCCTGGATGTGGCCCCACCTTTAAATGACTTAGGGAATAACCGTGGCGATTACACTGCAGCACATATGCACTCAAGAGGGACATCAAGAATACTTTGATTGCCGCAGGTTAGTAGAAGACTTTTTCCTAACCAAAACAGAAATGAACATTGTGAAGAGGTTTACTCACTTCACCGAAGTCACTTAATCCATGAACGTCGGTATAAAAATTACCGTACTTTGGTGAAGCTGCTTCTGCCCTAGCAAGCCATTAAAACATTAAAAAAGAGGGGAAAAAATCAATTATTTTTTTCACATGGGTAAGCAATGTAGTCATGCTTGAATCCTATTGAAATCAAACTAGTCACAGCTCACTTCAGTCCTGCCGTTTTCAGGGACACTAAAAAACGTAGTCTGGCTCCCATCCATTTTACTATGTTATTGGTATAAAATGTTAATTATTCCTATTAGTGGTGAGCCTAAAGAAATTTATTTTGAAATGTTGTCATGGTCATGGGCCTTCAAATCAGAACCAGCTCATAATGAACCAAATAGGACTTTCAGAGCCAATGTGATATTTAAGGAGTGGATTTACCAGTTCTACACCCCCACCTCCTTTTCATGGCTGAGTGGGGATTCGAATCCAGGCCTCCTGAGTCCTAGTCCACCACTCTCTTCACTGCAATACACTACAGTAGGTATCCCATTTTGAAGTGTAAGATAAAGGTAAAGGTTCCCCTTGACATTTAGTCCAGTCGTGATCGACTCTAGGGTGCGGTGCTCATCCTCGTTTCCAAGCCGTAGAGCCAGCGTTTGTCCGAAGACCGTTTCTGTAGTCACGTGGCCAGCACAGCTAGACACGGAACGTCATGACCTTCCCACCAAGGTGGTACCTATTTATCTACTCACATTTTTACATGCTTTCGAACTGCTAGGTTGGCAGGAGCTGGGACAAGCGACGGGAGCTCACTCCGTCGCGTGGATTTGATCTTTTGAAGTGTACAGGGATAATACGGGTGAGAGAAGGAGAATTACTTTTCCCAATCTTATAGGCATAAGTGGCATGGCTTCAGGAGGGGTCAGGAGACCTGGAACTCCCATCAGGCGGATCAGGACCCCCATATGGGCCACGGATCATATATATAAGATCTTTACACTATAGCTCTCTATGCTATGGTTCTTTAGCATGATGTCATTCAGCCACTTTATTCCATTTTCTATCAAATTCAGCTTCCTTGTCCTGGATATTCTTCCCTGTCGGTACCCTCTTTAAAAAGGCCTGCTTTTTTTGGTTACCAGGGAGTGTTGCAGAAAGGTGTCAGGGTCAAATACCGAACCCCTAGGTCGTAAAACATCCTCAGGGTGGCAAGACTGCTGTCAATGGCGTGACCTCCATGGATGCCCATCAAAGATGCAATCTTGTCACTGTTGGCGATGCCTACGTTTGAAGCAGAGAAGACAGGCTGAGTGTTAAAAAGCCCCCCCTCTCCCAATAGACCACTGATGAAAATGCACTCAAGTACTGGCTTTATAAATCACAGAAAGGGATGGGGAGAAAATTGGCATCCATCCCAGGGTCCATCAACCAGGCAGTCCTGGCTAACAAGCAGCGTTGCTTATTTAAATTCTTTTATTTACATCAACATCAGGCTTCAAGTGACCAATAAATATCAGCTTATTTTCTGAAGGCAGACGGTCTTTGGGAGCCCATGCTGGAGTGCAATATGGTAAATCCAATATAGGTTTGTAAATATGACTTTTACAGATGATTTTTTCTTTCTTTCTGATGCAGACATAGAAAATCAGAAAAACAAGTCTTAGCCTTTTCTCCCCTGAGATGTTCTAACTTGAGGCCACTAGCCTCACAATATAGACAGAGCACGGCTCGGCTCGGCTTGGCTTCCCCAGTTGTAGATCTTAAAGTTAGCGGTCCTCACCAAGCACTTTGAATGTCTCCATTTGCAAAATCTGAAGGAGTCGTTTGTATTTATACTACAGTAATAGCTTCCTTGTTCTCTTATACAGCAAAATGTGCCCTATCCATGCAAGAAAGGGAAGGTTGCCCGCCCAGCTGCTGAGCGGCTGATAGCCTGTTGATAACAACTGTTCCAGGTTTTCCAGAAAAACAGCACCTAATTTTGGAATTGCCCACAAGAACGTGATGCACATGATAAATATATATAAATGGCTAAAGAGAAACTCTTCTTGAAGAAGGTATCTATGTGCATCAAGTTCCTATGGGCAGTTTCAAAATTAGGTGCTGTTTTTTTCTGGAAGACCTATAGGCTCCTGCATTTGTATTGTTTCCATGCCTGTGCGGCCTTTCCTTGATTTTTCCTGAGCTGTAAGATACCATAAAATGGCTGATCAGGGCTGATCAACTGAGTGAGTTCTCGGAGGTGAGTTCTCGGACATCATGGACTCTTGACATTGAACAAGCAGTCCTGCACGGTAAAGAGAGCATCCACCAGGTAAAACTATTGATTTGGTTTTCATTTGGCTTAAATGGACTGTTAAAAACAGCATATAAATTTGAAGAACTTGAGGCATAGCCTTGAAGAAGATACTTTATCCTTGAAAGCTCGCTGTCACACTTTTTGAACTCGCCTTTGAGACGGGCACAGACAATCAGCAAGAATTTTTGGGACTCTCTTATATCTCTAGTGCCTATGATATTTTGGTGCCCAGCCTGATGAAGATAGTTTTAATGTCAAAAGCTTGCTGTTCCAATTTTTTTAAGTGGTCCGATAATGGTATCACCTGTCCTTTGAATCCCACAAGGAGCACACAGCTCTGTCCTGGTTTCTTTTCACAAGCGGTTCCTAATATAGCGAAGGCAAAGTGTGTGTGTGTGTGTTTGCTGTTGGTAAAAATACAAATACCTTGGATAGGTACCCTACGAGGTATCCTTCCGTGATCTGAAAGCAATGGAAATGTCAAAATGAGCCTTCAGCTCACCTTGGGAAGATGTCACCAGCTCCAGCTCATCGTAGCTTTTACACATCCGTTTGATAATGTCAATCTGTTCCAGGGTGAGGTGCACTGCGTCTTTATTTTGAGAACCACAGGACAAATGTATGGTCCAAACCTGAAAGGAACATGGCCTGTGTTTTTTTTTTTTTAAAAAAACCCTCATCCTTTATGTAAGGTGTAGATATGTCGTGCTGCCTTTTTAGCAAAGTTTTGCTTTGAAAAGACTCGTCTCCCTTTGCAAAGGCATCAAAGAATTAACTTAACAGCCCCTGGCAGGGTGGTTATACAGCAGTCTTGCAGTGATGACCTGAGTTTGACCTGAGATTGATCCCAATGTGTCCAGACTGACTAAACCTCCTGTCCTTCTGAGGTCAATAAATTGAGTAACCAGCTCACTGGGGGGGGGGGGGGAGAGAATGCTGTTTGCACATGTTGCAAACCACCCAGAGTGGGGGTGTGTGTATATAATTTGAAACAACAAATGCAGTGGTGCCCCGCTTAACGAGGATAATCCATTCCAGCGAAATCGCTGTAGAGTGAAATCCTCGTTAAGCGAAATAAAAAATCTCATTGAAACGCATTGAAAACCCGTTCAATGCGTTCCAATGGGCTGTAAAACTCACCGTCCAGAGAAGATCCTCCATTGGGGCGGCCATTTTTGGTGCCTGTAAAGTGAGGAATCCGTCCAAAAACACACCGGGGAGCCATTTTACACAGCAGGCGGCCATTTTGAAGCCACCGATCAGCTGCTTTAAAAATGTCGTAATGCGAAGAATCGGTTCCCGAAGCAGGGAACCGATCGTCGCAAAGCAGATTTTGCCTATTAAAACATTGTTTTGCGATCATAAAAGCTATTGCAAAACAGTCATCATATAGCGTTTTTGTCATTTAACGAGGCAATCGTTAAGCGAGGCACCACTGCTTTAAAGCCCATGCTGCAGGTCTAGGGTTGAACCAAAACTTTCTGCTCCCAGAGGGGGGGAAAAGCCAAAACAGACCTCAATAACGGAGACTCTTCCCATTTCCATGCTAACAGTTGCATGGTAACTGATCGGGCAGATGGTTCCCTATGGACCATGGCCAGCTCGGTCCTTCACCCTTCGTGACTTCAGGCTCCCTCCAGGATTAGCAACCTGAGGCTGCTGCTTCACACTGTCTAATGGTAGGGTGGTCCTCAATAGGCTAAACCACATGTTCTGTTTATAAAGTTCAACAGCTTTTATTTCATATGAAAGAATAGGTGAAGAAGGGGTAGCCGTGCAAGCATTATAGGCAAAAACAAAATTAAAAAAGTTTTAAAAAAATGAGACAAAACCATGGTGGCACCTTAGACTAACTTTTTTTTAAATGTGAGCTTTCGTTTGACAAGTTCACTTCATCAGACAATGTATAAAAACTAATCTTTAAGATGCTACCATGTTTTTAAAAAAAACTTTTTATTTTTATTATATTTTCCCCTTCTATCTATCTATCTATCTATCTAGGTGGCACCTTAACTTTTTTTTAAATGTGAGCTTTCGTTTGACAAGTTCACTTCATCAGACAATGTATAAAAACTAATCTTTAAGATGCTACCATGTTTTTAAAAAAAACTTTTTATTTTATTTTTATTTTCCCCTTCTATCTATCTATCTATCTATCTATCTATCTATCTATCTATCTATCTATCTATCTATCTATCTATCTATCTATCTATCTATCTATCTATCTATCTATCTATCTATCTATCTGTCTGT